TAACTACCATTGGAAAATGCTTGTCATTTTCCTGTAGCATCTGGTCCCCACTGGATCACTTTCATTTCCTTCACCTGCTCCCCCCACCAACCAATTTCTGCAGCTCTGCAACTGCATCCCTGCCCATCCTTACCCTTCTGCCCCCAACCCTCACCTCCTTGTACCCCCAATTTGTTTTTTCCCAATTAAAAAAAAAAACAATAAGATTTTTGGAGCTCTGGTGACCTAGCGGCAAGATGCTGCACTGCAATCCTGAAGGTGCATGGTTTGAATCCACCAGATGCTCCGCTGGAGAAGGAGAGGCAAACTCCTCCTGTGCCTGTTGGATCCAATTCAACAGTACACCATATTAAAAAGAAATAAGTGAATACAAATTTAAAAAAAAAATACAGATTTTTATCTTACAATTCCAAAGATCAGAAATCCAAAACGGGTCTCTCGGGGCTTGAAGGAAGTGTCAGGAAGGAAGCCAGACCTGTCCCACATTGAACACCCTGGATACAGAATGCCCCACGCTCACCCCTCTCTGGCTTACCATGTGTACTCCAATCGCACACACTTGCTCACGTGAAAAGAGAGGGAGCCAGAGGCAGGGGGGAGGCAGCTTCCATGGGGACAGGGGAGCAGGGGGTGGGGGCGACAGCTAAGATGCCAGAGGGAAGGACATCTACAGCCCAGCAGACATGTCCAGCGCTTTCAGGCTGGGCCAAGTCCATCAAGGGCTGGCACTCTCCTGGTCTGATAAGCAGTCGGGTGCTTTACAGAAAGAAACACTTCCTGACACCCAACTCCAACTCGAGAAGCTTATAGTACATGATGTGGTGTGCTGCTAACCAAAAGGTCAGCGATTTGGATCCACTAGCAATAATAAGCAGCTGCCCCCTGTTTGGATTTACAGCTATGGAAACAGATGCTGGGCCATTATGAGTGGGACTTAATTCAATGGCAGTGGGTTTAAACCAAACTTAGCCTCAAAGCCAATCCTGCCCTCTTGATCAACGCTGTTGAAAGGTGCCATCGAGTCACCTGTGACTCAGAATGACCCTACATGTAAGCAGCTCTGAAGCCTCCTCTGTCCTGAGACAGGCACAATGATTCCAACACACCTACCCCCATCGCCCCAGTCACTGTGTCAATCCATCTCATCAGGGGTCTTCGTCTCCTGTGCTGTCCCTCCACCCTTCCAAGCATGATGTCCTTCTCCAAGGACTGGACCCTCCTGGCCATGTTGCCAAAGTATGTGAGACAGATCTTCACAATCCTACCCTCCAAGGAGAAACTTGGTTTCACCCTCTCTCACACAGACCTATTTGTTTTCTCGGCAGTCCATGGTATGTTCAAGACTCTTCTCCAGCACCACAACTTGAAGGCATCAATTCTTCTTCTGTCATCCTTAATTATTGTACAGCTCTCTGATGCATAGTGAGTAATTTCTAAGACCATGACCTGGATTAGGTGCACCTTAGTCTCTAGACTGACATCATTGCTTTGCAGTCTGGAGAGATTACTGAGGGCAGATTTACCTAATACAATTACTCTTTTGATTTCCTGACTCCTAGTGCTAAGAGTGTTGACTGTGGAGCTAAGCAAGCTGTAACTGTTAACAACCCTGATCTCTTCTCCAAGGCTTTAGTCATGGTCCAGCAGTTGCCTACCCCCAGCACCACCTCCAGCCTCTGCGCCTCGCAGACCAGCATATCAGACCTAGAGGTGACCTACCCTCTTACCCGATAGCTGAGCTTAATTCATCTGTGGTTCCTACAGCTTCGAACACGTGGTCATCTTTGGGCCTTCTCTCTCCAGTGAAGGTGCCAGAAAACCCTGTGGGGAAATACGTAATAGGTTCAAATTATGATGGTTATTTCCAGATAGGGTCTTTTCAAAATCTTTGAGAAAAAAAAGGCAATAAAAACTTTAACTTGAAGCATAATGGACACAGAGAACTGTATCCATAAAAGGTGAATCCTAAGTGTGTTAAGTAGATGAACTGTGGCCAACTTAACTGGTATCTTGAATAAGAAACTAGGGAGCTCTGGTGGCCTAGTGGCAAGAAGCTGCACTGCAATCCCAAAGGCGCACAATTCAAACCTACCTAATACTCTGCTGGAGAAGAAGGGGCAATCTTTACCTGTGCCAGTCAGATCCAATTCAACAGTACATAACAAGAAAGAAAAAAAAAACCAAACCCAACCTAAAAAAAAGAATCAAGCACAATGGGCGCCCCAGAAGGCTCAGCATGTTCTCAGTGGGCCACCTCCCACTGATATTCATCCTAATGTGTTTTTACTTTACATTTCAAATATAATTTGAAGTTTCTAAGTTGTTGTTGTTGTTGTTGTTGTTGTGTACTGTCGAGTCAGAACCGACCCATAGCCGATCCTCTAGTGGATTTTCAGAGGCAGTTAATTGCACGGGAGGAGAGTGTCCATCCTTCTCCAGCGGAGCAGCTGGTGGATTTGACCCATGTGCCTTCAGGATTGCAGTGCAGCTTCTTTTCACTTGGCCACCAATTTATATGTAACAAGCTTAAATTAGAAACTTTAAAATATGCAGTTGCTACTTCTCAAGGGTATCCGTATCCATCCTAATGTGTTGTTACTTTAACTGATGTTAACAGTGTGGTTTTAGTTTAGATTTCTATCATGTACTAACCATTCTTCTGAAAGCAGAGAGCAAGAAGAATGTCTATTTGTGTTTCATGGACTATTGCAAAGGCATTTGTGTGATCGTAACAAATTATGGCTAACATTGAGAAGAACTGGTATCAAAGAACACTTAATTATGCCCATATAAAACCTGTATCTAGACAAGAAGCTGAACAGAGCAAGGGAACACTGCGTGGTTTAAAACCAGGAAAGATGTGTGTCAGGGTTATATCCTCTCCCCATACCTATTCAATCTGTATGTTGAGCAAATCATTTGAGAAGCTGGACTCCATAAAGAAGAATGTGGCATTATGATTGGAGGAAGACTCATCAACAATCTGCATTATGCAGATGACACAACCCTGCTTGCTGAAAGGGAGAAGGGCTTGAAATGCTGCAGAAAATCAGAGACTGCATCTCAACATCAAGAATACACAAATCCTTACCATCAGAAAAGTAAGCAACATTATGACTAATGGAGAAAAGACTCAAATTGTCAACAATTTCATCTTACTTGGATCCACAATCAACACTGTTGATACTAGCAGTCAGGAGATCAAGAGACGTATTGCATTGGGCAGGTCTGCTGTCAGGGACCTCTCCTACTGCTCTCCAAAATAACACAGGAGCAGTAATATTAGTTTGAAGACAAAGGTATGCCAGATTCAGGTCAAGGTCTTTTCAATCACTTGCTATGCCTCTGAAAACTGGACAGTAAGGATGACAGAAGAATTGATGTCTTTGTATTGCTATGTTGGAGAAGAGTACTGAATCTCCTATGGACTGCCAAAAGAACAAACAGGTATGTATTGGGAAAAGTGCAGCCAGAGTGCTCCTTGGAGCTGAGGATGGCAAAGCTTCATCTCACATACTCTGGGCATGTTACAAGGAGAAGCTATTACTTGGGAAGGTTGAGGGCCAGCAAAAGAAGGGAAGACCCTCAATGATTTGGACTGATACAGTGACGTCAGCAGTGGGCTGAAGTGCGTCAGAGATGATGAAGGACAGATCTGCTATTAAAAAGGTTGCTATGCATTATTTGGTTGCTATCCAGAGAGCTGGACCATGGAGAATTGATGCCTTTAAGCTGTGGTGCTAGAGAAGTGTATTGAATATACCATAAACTGCTAAGAGGACAAACAGGTTCACCCTAGAGAAGGTGAGACCAGGCTGCTCCTTGGAGGCAAGGATTCTGAAGCTTTGTCTGACATACTCTGGGCATATTGGAAGAAGGGACTGGTCCTTGGAGAGGGATGTCATGCTTGGGAGGGTGAAGGGACAGTGCAGGAGAGAAAGACCCTCGATGAGATGGATTGACTCAGTGACTGGGGTAATGGGTGTAGGTGTGTCAGAGACAATAAGGTTGGCACAGGATAGAGCAGGGTTTAGGGCTGTTGAACACAGGGTCACTATGAGTTGGAGACGACTCGACAGCACAGAACAACAACATGCATTATATTTGACTCTTTGGCACTTAACAACAGCCACCATTCTGCTAAGAGAAAACAAGTGTGCTGTTGCCAGCTGTTAGCTGAGTCAGTTCTGACTCAGCGACCCTGATGTGCATCATGACCCCAACTGTTCTCATTCGCAGAGGTCCTGTGTCCGACAGGATGCAGCAGCGCATGGCCCTGCACCATCCTCACAACCCACACTGTGGCTGAGCCCCCACTGTTGGAGCTTCTGTGCCAACCCACCTCACCGAGAGCTTCCCTCTTTACTGGTGACCCTCAACTTTTTCCAGCATGATGTCCTTCTCCAGGGATTTATCCCACCTGATAACACGCTCAAGGAAGTGACACAAACTCTCATCATCCTGGCTTGTAAAGAGCTTCATGATTATACGTCTTCCAGGACAGTGTGTTATATTTGTGTTTCATTTTAATATACATGTCATCAAAGACCCCTGTCTAGGTCATGTTTACATATTGCCTTTCTAGACCACTAGGAAGGAGGAAGCCAGCCCACAAAAGCAGGAACCAGTCTGGTATCATCAGCCAGGCTCTGGTGTTGGTCTACATTGGTCAGATGCAATCCAAAAAAATAAAATAATAAAAAGAAATATTCAGTCCATATCAAAAGCTGTAGTCTTTGATCTTCTGTGACAAGTGGCTTCAGGTCCCCCTCACTTTTGGCAAGCAAGTTGTGTCATCTGCATAATGCAGGTTGTTGATGAGTCTCCCTCCGATTCTGATGCCACATTCTTCTTCAAGAGAGTTTGGCTTCATGAACTATCTGTTCAGCATATAGACCGAATAGGTATAGAGAAAGGATATACCCCTGACACTCACCCTTCTTGATTTTAAACCATCCAGTGTTGTCTTGTTCTGTTCAGACAATAACCTCTTGGTCTAGGTACAGATTTCATGTTCTAGCATTCCCATTCTTCCTAATGCTAGCCCTAGTTTGTTGTGAACCACACAGTCAAATGTCTTTGCACAGTCAAGAAAACACAGACATATGTATGTAGATACATCATTATTATCAAGCAATTTTCTTTTATTACCGCATATATGTTGAGCATTTTTCCTACCAGAATACTGAGGTTTCCTACCAGAATACTGAGGTCTGCCGCACATTTTTGGACAAAGTTTAAGCTGTAATCTGATACATGTCTCTTTGTGTGTGATTGAAATGGAAGTTTACAAAGCTAGTTGGTTTTCTATTCAACCATCCATACATATTTTATAATTACTACACCTACAAAATAGTCTCACTCTTCCCACTTCCTCCTTATAACCCTCATTTCCATCAATCCTTCCTTCCTACCCCTTCCTGCCTTCTGAGTTTTATAGTTGGGTGCCACATATCTCTTGGTATATTTTTTACCTGATCCCACCCTACCTTTGTCTCCTGTTTTTGTGTAAATCTTGGGGATCTTGAGTGTCTTCAAGGAAGGCTGTGATCTAAGGAGAAACAAACATCAAGAGGTAAGTGGGCTACCAGTGAATGAATGGAGAAACAAAATATGATAGAGTGGAGTACTATTCGGTGATAGAAAACCCTGATACATGCCATAACATTGACAGACCTGGGAAGCCTGGTGCTGAGTAAAATAAGTCAGACAGAAAAGAGCAAATCACGTACAATCTTATCTTTGTGAAATCTCTAAAATAGTCAAAGCACTGACACCCATACCTGGGGCTCGGGCAGGGGAAGACAGGGAGTTGTTATTGCTGTAACTCTTGGTTTCTATCAAGAATAATGACAAACATGGAGGGTCACAGAAAGAAGGCCTTCAACAAGACAGATTGACAGAGGTGGTTAAAATGGCCCTCCGCATATCAGAGATCATGAGAATGCAGAGAAGACGTTGTTGTTACGTGCTGTTGAGTTGCCTGTCACTAACAGCAACCCTATGTATAGCAGCTCTGAAGCCTGCCCTGTTCTGAGCCTGTTTAACTAACTCCAACACACCAAACCCCATTACTCCAGTTACTGTCTCATTCCATCTCATCTGGGGTCTTCCTCTCCTGCGCTGTACCTCTACCCTTCTGAACATGATTTCCTTCTCCAAGGACTGGTCTGTCCAGGCCACACGCCCAAAGTATGTGAGATGGAGCTTCAAAATTCTAGCCTCCAAGAAGAAATTTGGTTTCACCCACTCCAAGAGAGATCTAGTTGTTTTCTTGGTCATCCATGGTGTGTTCAAGACTCTTCTCCAGGGCTACAACTCGAAGGCATCGATTCTTCTTCTGTCATCCTTAATCATTGTCAAGCTCTCTGATGCACAGCAAGTAAGTGCTAAGACCATGGCCTGAATCAGTAGCACCTTAGTCTCTAGACCGACACTGTGGCTTCTCAGTACTCTGGAGAGGTCCCTGATAGATTTTCCCAGTGCAATTCATCTTTTGATTTCCTGACTGCTGATGCCAAGAGTGTTGATTGTGGAGCCATGTAAGCTGAAACTGTTAACAAGCTCAATCTCCTCTTAATCTATCATGATGCTGCCAATTGGCCCAGTGGTGAGAATCTTTGTCTTCTTGATATTCAGCTTCAATCCATATTGAAGACTACAGTCCTTGACCTTCTGCAGCAAGTGCTTCAGGTCTTCCTCAGTTTCAGTAAGCAAAGTTGTGTCATCTGCATAATACAGGGTGTTTATGAGTCTTCCTCCAATCCTGATGTCACATTCCTCCTCATAAAGTCTAGCCTCCTGAGTGATCTGTTCTGCACATAGATAGAAAAGGTCTGGAGACAGGTCGCATCCCTGACACACTCCCTTGCTGATTTTGAACCATACAGTGTTTCCCTGCTCTGTTCTGAGGACTGTTTCCTGGTCTGAGAATATGTTTCTCATGAGCATAATCAAGAGTTCTGGAATTCCCATTCTCCTCAAGGTTAGCCACAATTTGTGGGGATCCACACAGCCAAATGCCTTTGCATAGTCAATGAAACACACAGACATTCCTCTTTCTTATCTGTTGTTCATAGAGTCGCTATGAATCAGTCAACTTGGTGAACATAACTAATATCACTGGAAAATGACCTCATGTCGGGAAAGGTAGGGGATCAGAGATGGAGCAGAAGACCCTCCACATGATGTACTGACAGAGTGACTCTAACCCTGGGCTCGAGCATGTCAGAGACACTGAGGATGGCGCAGGGCAGGGCAGGCTTCAGACCTGTTGTTCACAGAGTCACTATGAGTCACAGTTGACTTGACGGCACCTAACAACAACAAAAACAATCACAACAACAACAACACATTTAAAATGGTCAGACTGGCAAATGTTTTGTATATATATTTTTATCATCATTTTAAAAATTAAAAAGGAGACAAAGATTGTTAAAGGAATGGCTTAATATACTGGGCACATTCTCGATTGGGCCACAGCTTGCTGCTTTTAACACTACAGGGGCATTTCTATCTCCCTCTGGATAAAAACGTCCTGTTGACATCTTTCTCCTCCATCCATAAATCACAAGCCCCCTGTGGCCAAGCCCTGTAATTTGCCAGGGTCTTCATATGCATATTGTTGAAGGATGTCCAGATTGGACTGAAGGCACTGGAAAAAAACCAAAACTCCAGGAATTGATGGAATACGATTTAAAATGCTTTGTGGTTGCTGATTGCCACTGAGCTGAGCACGATTCATAGCAACCCCGCGAACAAGACCTGAAGCCTTTCTACAACTATCGTCGTTTCTCAAAGTTCATAGAGTTTCCAGAGGCATGTTTTTTAGGAAGTGGATGCCACTCCTGCTTCCAAATATTTCTTCATCTGGGAGCTCCACCAGATGCTGTCCACCATGGGTGACCAGTGTTTTAGTAGACACAATTCTGGAAGTGCTCACCTGCCTGTGCTAAGAAGTTTGGAAGACAGATATGTGGTTAACGAACTAGAAAAGATCCTCTTCCAAAGAAAGACAATCCAACAGAATGTGAAAATGACTCAACAATGGCATTAATGTCACATGCAAGAAAACTTAGGCTGAAGATCATTTAATAATAGTTGCAGAGGGGAAGAATGGTCTGAAAGGAATATATAATTAGGCATTAGATGTACTACAACAATCTAGAACAAGAGGTGCATTGCAAAATGGACTGCAAAGTGGAGGGAAAGGAACACGCAGCAATGTATGAATAAAAAAAAATTTGAAAAATGGTTGCAGTAGTAAATCAACAAAGAACGGCTGGGAGTTGAAGCCAGAGTCAGAAGAGGTGTATCACTGCTGACTTCAGATGGATCTTGGCTGAATGCAGAAAACACTAGGAAGATGTTTACTTGTGCCTTATGAATATTCAAAGGCATTAGACTGTGTGGATCAGCAAAAATTACAGATAAAAAAAGCATCGTTAAGAATGGGAATCCTACCTAAAAAAAAAAAAAGAATGGGAATCCTAAGGGAACTCTGGTGGCCTAGTGGCAAGAAGCTTCATTGCAATCCCAGGGGCATACGGTTCAAATCCACCAGATGCTTTGCTGGAGGAGGAGAAATCACCTCCTGTACCAGTCAGATCCTATTTCACACACTCACACACTCACACACACACACACACACACACACATACACACAAAATAATTTTAAAAAAAAATGGGAGGAGCTCCGGTGGCAACATGAAGCTTCTTACGCACAATTTGCTGAGCTCGCACGTGCGGGGGGGTGGGGCCCCCCGCGGTTTCCCCCTGCGGCTGCAGGCCACCAAGGTCCGTGTCAACCCGGTGGAGTTCAACCCCGACTTCGTAGCGCGGATGATACCCAAGGTGGAGTGGGCGGCGTTTCTGGAGGCGGCCGAGACCTTGCATCTGGTCGAGGTCCCCAAAGGGCCAACTGAGGGATATGAGCACGATGAGGCTTTTTTAAGGAAGATGCACCACGTGCTGCTGGAGGTGGACGTATTAGAGGGCACCCTGCAGTGCCCAGAGTCCAGACGTCTCTTCCCCATCAGCCCCAACATGCTGCTAAACGACAAGGAAACCGAGACTTAGCCTTGTCGGGCCCCCTTTTCGTTGTAACTGTGTTTGTCCATTCTCTGTTAGTCTTGTCATGTCTTCAGCCCTGCACCCAGTGACACACCAAACGCATTGTTCTTGAGCTCCATAGTATATATATATTTTTTCTCATTAAAGGTTCAAAACAAACAAACAAAAAGAATGGGAATCCTAAAACATTTAACTGAATGTGAACCAAGGGGCAGTTATTCAAACAGATCAAGGAGGCAGTGCAAAGTGTGAAACCAGAAAGGATGTGTATAAAAGTTGCATTCTTCCACCATCCTTATTCAGTCTGTATGCTGAGTTAATAATACAATAAACGGGGTTATGTAATGAAAAGTAGGCATCAAGGTAGAAGAAAGACTCATGAACAATCTTTAATATACAGGTGATACCACTTTGCTTGTAAAAGTGAAGGGGAAACCAAGCATTCACTGGTGACAATCAAAGATCAATAACCCTCAGTAAAGATTACATACACCTCAGCATAAAGAGAAATCTTTACAAATGGATCAATAAACAGTATCATAATCACGATAGATACATAAAATACTGAAGTGGTCAAGGGGTTCATTTTACCTGGCTTCACAGTTAATGCCCACAGAAGTGACAGTCAATAAATCAAACAAAATGGACCTCTTTGAAGTGTTAAAAAAAGTAAAGATGTCACTTGGACTGAGGGCTAAGATGTGCCTGACCTGAGTTGTATTTTCAGTTGCCTCATACAAATGTGTCAGAGATCTGGACCATGACTAGGGATGATAGAAAGAGAATTGATGCCTTTGAGCTGTGGTGCTGGAGTAGTGTATTGACTCCACCATGGACCACCAGGAGAACAAACAGGTTCATCCTGGAGAGGGTGAATGAAACCAGGTTGCTCCTTGGAGGCAGGGATTCTGAAGCTTTTTCTGACCTCCTTTGGGCATGTTGCAAGACAGGACCAGTCCTTGGAGAGGAATGTCATACTTGGGAGGGTGGAGGGACAGCACAAGAGAGGAAGACCCTTGATGAGATGGACTGACTCGGTGATGAGGGTAATGGAGATAGGTGTGTTGTGAGAGACAGTAAATTTGGCACAGGATGGAGCAGGTGTCAGGGCTGTTGTACATACGGTCGCTATGAGTCTCAAGCGACCCAACGGCACATAACAACATACAAATGTGAAAGCTGGACAATGAGTAAGGAATACTAAAGAATGACTGATGCTTTGGAATTGTGATGCTGGCACGGAATCCTCAATGCACCAGGGGCTGCCAGAAGAACACACAAAATCTGTCTTAGAAGCAGTGCAATCAGAGCGCTCCCTGACACAAGACTGACAAGGCTTCATTTCATGTACATTGGACACAATCTCTGGAAGAACTAGTCTCTGGAGGACATACTGGGAAAACTGGAGAGTCAACAAAAGAGGAAGTCCCTAATGGACAGAAACAGTGGCTGCAAAAATACAGCCTCAAGGACAGCAAGGACTGTGCCGATGGCACAGCACAGGGGAGTGCTTTCTTCCATCATACGTAAGATTGCTGAGTCTGAGCTGACTCCATGGCATCCAACAACTGCTAATGCTCACAGCAGAAGCTCAGTTAATACTTGTTAAAAGAACTTACACATCACCTGCTATGGCTCATGCACTGCACCATATGGCCTTAATAACAACCCCGTTTTACCACTGAAGGCATGACAGTTCATGAAGTGAGAGACTCAACTTCCTAAGTCACCTCTGGAGGGTGAGATGGAGTTGGGACTCATGTCCAAGGCTATCTTATGCCAGACACCAAATTCTTGCCTCTAGCACACTCAAAGTCAAGGCCTCTTGGAGAGAAACTCCAACAACCTTCTTTGAAGCTTCTGGTATATTCAGAAATGAACTGTCAACATGGATATGAAAGAATTGGGATATTTCCAAGTAGCAACACAGCATCTAATGTTTTTAGCTGTCATTAAGTGGGATCCTGACCTCTGGAGCCCCAGGCAAGATAGAATCAGAATATTGCAATCCATAAGGGTTTCTACTGGTTGGTTTTTTTGGTTGGTTTGTTTTCTAGTTGTGTATCATCAAACTGGATCCGAGGAGACTGCCCCTCCTTCTCGAGCAGAGCGTCTGGTGGATTCTAACTGCATGCCTTCAGGACTGCAGTGCAGCTTTTTGCCGTTATTCCACCAGAGTTCCCTCACTGGTTGGTTTTTCAGTAGACTGTCAAGCCTTTCTGCCACGTTTGCCTTCGTCTGGGCATTCCACTGAACCCTGTCCAGCATCATTGCAATGTTCTGTCTTGCAGAAATCTTTGCATAAGCATGCAAAAGCAGGAGTTGGGGTGTGGTACTATTTTTCTGCAGGCTATTGTTAAGCCATATTGGTGTATCTGCATCCTAAGTGAGGATAGGCTGCATTTGAGGAGGTGCCCTGGCTGGGAACTGACCTCTGGTCTCCATCATGGAGTGCAGGAATTCCTTTCCTGAACCAGTACTGTGTATATTTAATAAACCCATTGCCATGGAGTCAATTCCAACTCACAGCTAATCCAGGCACCAGGACAGAATTGCTGCATTCTAAGATTCTAAGGCTAGAATCTTTCTGGAAGCTGACTGCCCCATTTTTTTCTCTGTGGAGGAATTGGTGGATTTGAACCACTGACCAGTAGGTTAGCTTTTGACAAGTACAGTCCTGGGATTCTGTTTTTAATATTGTTGTTGTATGTATCATCCAGGTGACTGTTTTATAGCAATCTCATGAAAAACAGATCTGAAACTGGCTCTATCCTGCCCCATTCTCATCGCCTCCAAGATGCTTGAGCCCACTATTATACTATGTCGACCATTCTCGAGAGTCTTCCTCTCCTTCTCTGATCCTTCACCTTTCCCGGCTTGATGTCTTTTCCCAAAATATGTGAGAACATCCTGCCTCTAAGGAGCATCCTGGTTGTAACTTTTCTAAGACAGACTTGTTTGTTCTTCTGGCAGTCCATGGGATATTCAGTCATCTTCGTCAGTGAGACATTATAGTTGTTCAAGGGTATTAATTCCTCATTAGTCCATGGTGCTCTACACGTTCTGAGATCTAGAATGGCGCAAATTTCATTCAATGAATATGACAAGAGCGATCATTAAACCATGTCTGTGTACCTGTATTCTATACTGACAAAATTGGAAGTGAGGTTAAGACTGGGTAAGAGGTCTCTGCTGGTGCACATGCAAGAGACGCTCTGCCCTCCGTGATCATGGGCTTCGCACTTGTGCAAAGAAGGCCTGATCTCTGCCCTCCAAGGCGTGCGTTTTGCTATGATGACAAGAGCTTTTGCGTCACCGGTATGTCACTGAGCAGCTGCTGCGAAGACCTCGGGTGTTGTGACATACAACTGCGATTAACTGCACGTTGCAAATTAACCTCCCATTCGGGCACTCACCTGTCTCCATTATTCCCGCCTTGAGAGCTGCGGCTCTGGAAACGGAGACTCAGTGTCCCGCAGGCGCCAATACACCGGCGCAGGCCAAGGCGGCCTCCCAGGCTACAGGCAGCCATTCGCTAGAGGTGGCTTGACTCCGCCAGGCACCCGTCTAGTTTCCTGGGTCACTCCACCTACAGCGGGCCTGCTGGCCACCTAGTCGCCGTTTCCCATTGGTCCGCAGCACTCGCCCCAGGGCGGGGCACTCTCAGAGTCTTGTTTCCGATTGGCTTAAAGAAAGAAATTGGGCGGGAGCACCTGTAACTATTGGCTATTATACCTACAGGCTAATACAAAAGTAAACCAATCCGTAAAGGACTTCCACTATGTGATTGGCTGGACGGAAGAAAGCCCCGCCTTCTCTAGAAAACTGGTTCTCTCTGCTGGTGGAGTCCAGGAGCTGCAGAACTGCGTTGAGGTGTGTCTGTGAGGGCAGGTGAGAAGGGGCTGGTGGCGCGAGACCGGGGCCACCTCGGGCTGGGTGCCCAGCTTCTCTGGTTCAGGTGTGCCAATTCTGAGAGTCTGCCTCGCGGTGGTCGGCGACATCGAATCTGACAGGTGGGAGTTCCAGCAGCTTCCCCTCTGTGAATTCTTTTCCCTTTTGGGAAAAGCGATGTCGGTAGTACTGACAGTGCGACTGAAGTTAATAATCACCCAGCCCTCTTCAAACATTAAATGGAAGTTGCTTTTTATATTTGTTAAATATTTGCGTGCACCCACTGACAGAAATTTCTGTTTTGCAGAAAGCTTTGTTTAAGTATTCAGAAAGGGGTTTCTGCAGCCCTGATTACAACTGTGACATGTTGGAAGCAGCCTGAAGTGCCCAAGAGTTATTTCTGGGTCGTTATTGTTGTTAGATAACTTGGAGTCGGCGACCCAAGAGGAAAGGTCACCAGAATTAAGGATGGCCTGGCCGGCACCATCCTCTCAATCTCTGCGGGGCCGCTTGTTCAGGGTCTTGTTAAGGGTCTTCCTCTTTTTGACAGGTCCTCAGCCTACTGTGATGTCCTCTAGGCCCCTCCTCATATCATGCCCAATTTGTGTAATACAAAGTCTCACCATCTTTGCCTTCAAGGAACATTTTGGCCATGTTGTTGTTGTTAGGTGCCATCCACTAGGATCAATAGCTCTGAACCTCGCCTGGACCAACTTCCTCCAGTAATAGTAAAAGCTATTACTTTCACTCCTCTGAACCAAGAACAGAACCAGTGGATAAGTAACTGTCAATAAGCAAGTGATTACAACGTACCAGATGCTTTTTCCCTTTTATTACTGAATTGAATCTTCTCAATGACCCATCGAGGCTGGTATGGATAATGTAGCCCAGTGGAGATCAGAAGGATAGCACAGGATAGGGTGAAATTCTGATCTCTTGTTCATAGGGTCGCTTGTCATCCTTTATGGCACCTAACAACAGGTACAGTAAGATTAATCCCTGTATCACAGGTGGAAAAACCGAGCCAGTGAGTGAGTTACCTAAGATTACGCCTCTGGCAAGTAGATGACCTGGGATTTGAACCCAGGTTTTTCTGATGCCTCTAGTGAACTCTAAGTGCTGCCTTTTTAGTTATAATAATGGACTTGAGGTGGGTGTTCTCTTAGATCCCTTCCTGCTGGTTCTGCCCTCTGCGAACCTTTGTGCCTCCCTCTACCTTTCCCTTTTAGGATTCCCAGGCGCCATGCTGTCAGACATGCTGCTGGTATCTGCACCGGGAAAAGTCATTCTCCACGGAGAGCATGCTGTGGTCCATGGCAAGGTAAAAAGGCCCCCAGCACCTCCCAGGATGTCCCACTCCTCCTTGGCAGTCATCTCCCCAGCAGCTGAGATGAGCCCTGCCTGGGCCACAGCCTGTGGGAGCAAATTAGTGAAGGGGTCAGGCACGTGGAAAGGCAAATCTTGTGCTCACAGAAGGGTTTTTCTGAAAGAGCAAAACACTCCATCAAGCTTTGTGAGTGGAATGAGGTCCCCTTGATGAGCAGCATCAGCGGAGGAGGGTGGAAGGGCATACTCGAGGATACTCGTACAGCCACCCTATAAGGGACACCTTGGGTTACACATGTGAAATCTGGAAAAGAACTCTAACTTGATTTTGGTGGAGCTTGAGTTGAACTTGATCTGTCTCAACTCAAAACTCATACTTTTTTCACTCATCCACTCTTCATGGAGGTTTGTCCCACCCCCACCTTTTCTTTTTTAACTCTGTGTATGTGTGCGCATGAATGTTGTTTATAAGGTTTGTCCCCCATTCTCTCTTAAATGTCATTCTCTGCGTTCCCAGCTTATATTTGTTGTTGTTGTTGCTGTGTACTGTAGTGTTGGAACCAACCCATAGCTGACCCTCCAGCAGGTTTTCAGAGGCATGGGAGGAGATCGCCCATCCTTCTCTTGCGGAACTACAGGTGACCTCGAGCCATGTGCCTTTGGAATTGCAGTGCAGCTTCTTGCCATTAGGCCATCAGAGCTTTTTTGAAGCATGACATTTACATGGAAGCAGTTGCTTCCTTGGTATTGAGAACCTCTGAACCAAATGAAATTTTGCATGAAGGCAATGATAGACAGACACTAGTTCTTAGTAGATTAGCAGTGTCTGTGCCTGGGCTAAATAGGAGAATATTGATTAACAATGTTTGTCAAGAACATGGGGAAAAGTAGCCTGTATTGCTAAGCATTGGTGCTTTCTTCTCAGCATTTGGCATTGCCCCTTTTCTCCTAAGAAGGGAATTATGCTTCTTGCTTCAGGTTTATTGCATCTCTGCTTTATTCTACAGGTAGCATTGGCTGTGGCTTTGAACTTGAGAACCTTTCTCCGGCTTCAACCCCTAAGCAATGGGAAAGTGAGCCTCAACTTACCAAACATTGGCATCAAGAGGCACTGGGATGTGACTAGGCTTCATTCACTAGACCTGAGCTTTTTGGGTGAGTGCCGGAGAGAGATGTTGGGTGTTGTGAGAACCTGAACCTTGAGGAGAAAGGAAAGCGAGGCAGCACGGTTGTAACTCTCAGCAGGTTTTAAGGGAGCCAGAGACAAGCAGTCCTGACCTTAGTCTCCATTTAGTATTGTTGTTGTTACGTGTCTGCAACTCATAGTGACCCTAAGTACAACAGTTCTGAGACAACCTCATCATCTCTGACACATCTACCCTCATTACCCCAGTCACTGAATCAATCTGTCTCTTTAAGGGTCTTCCTCTCCTGGGATGTCCCTCCACCCTCCCAAACATGACGTTCCTCTCCAAGGACTGGTCTCTTTTGCAACATGCCCAAAGTATGTCAGACGAAGCTTCAGAATCCTTGCCTCCAAGGAGCAGCCAGGTTTTACCCTTTCTGGGATGAACCTGTTTGTTCTCCTGGAAGTCCATGGTATATTCGACACTCTTCTCCAGCACCACAGCTACAAGGCATCAATTCTCTTTCTATCATTCCTAGTCATTGTCCAGCTTTCTGATACATAGCAAGTAATTGCAAAGACCATGGCCTAGATCATGCGCACCTTAGTCCCCAGTCTGACATTGTTGTTCTTCAGTACTCTGGAGAGGTCCCTGACAGCAGATTTTCCCAGTGCAAAATTGTCTTTTGATTTCCTGGTTGCTGGTACCAAGAGTATTGATAGTAGAGCCAAGCAAACTGAAGCTATTAACAATCTCAATCTCTTCATCATTTAATATTACTGTTTTTTAAATTTAAAAGTGTAAAGTGATGCATTAGGTCTGTGTGGGCTATTGTGGACTAATTATAGAGCCATATGGAGGGAGGTATGTGTATGTGTGAAAAAAACCCCACCAACAACAATTCAAGGCTTCACCATTTCCACCACTCAGGACTCCTGAGTGTACCAACAGGATTTTGTTATTGTTAGGTGCTGTTGAGTCAACTATGCCCCACAGTGGCACTTTGAACAGCAGATCTGAACCCTGCCCTGTCCCGTGCCATCCTCACCATCTCTGATATAACTTGAGCCCACTGTTACAGTCACTGTGTCAATCCCTTTCATTGAGGGTCTTCCTCTCTTTCACTGACCCTCCACTTTTTCAAGTATAATGTCCTTTTCCAACGACTGAGATGAAGCTTCTCTATCCTTGCCTCTAAGAAACACCTGGTTGCACTTTCTCCAAGATATATTTGTTCAGCTTCTTGATAGTCCATGGGATATTCAGTACTCTTCCCAGCACCACAACTCAAAAGCATTGATTCTTCTTCTATCATCCTTATTCCTGTTGGAATAAGGAATAAGTTGGCTACTTAAAAGTAAAAGTCTCCACATGTTTTTAACGTTCTCTCTCTGCCACTTATTTCTCCTGTCATCCCGTTGTGCTAGGAAGGGATATTTTGTAGATTTCAGTCTTTTTTAAAGATTGAAGACTGCCTTTGTGCCCTCAGAAAGT